GTTGTTTTAGCTGGCCCAGGAGGGATTTGAACCCGCCGCCCTCCGTGTATGTGGCTGGCAACCTAACTATGGTGCTATGGGTACTGAGTCAACAGTTTTTTTCTTTTCATTCCAAGTACTTGCAGAGTATCTCAATGTACTGTCATCTACAATGATTATGTTAAAGTCAGTACATACCCAATAGATGAGTATATCTAATATATATCAATATACATCTATAATACACCTATCTATATGCATTATCTCTGTTGTTTTACATAAGAAAGATAAGCAATGATTATACCAAAATATGGTGATTTTGGAAGGCTCAAAAAGGCATTTTATAGAAAGTAATTTTTAAAATTTTTTTTCTGAGACAGAGTTTCACTATGTTGTCCTTGGTAGAATGCCATGGCATCACAGCTTACCGCAGGGGTCCTCAAATTTTTTAAACGGGGCCAGTTCACTGTCCTCAGACAGTTGGGCTGGATAAATGTCCTAGGCGGGCTGCATGTGGCCCGTAGGCCGTAGTTTGAGGACGCCTGGCTTAGAGCAACCTCAAACTCTTGGGCTCAAGCGATTCTCTTGCCTCAGCCTCCCAACTAGCTGGGCGCCTGCCGCAACACCCAGCTGTACCTATCAGTTCTAATCTACCAAATGACAGAAACCTTGTCTTTATTCTTTAGAGGTTTCCCCAAAGCACCCAGCAAGTAATATACTTATTGTTTGCTGGTAGCAAGTAAGGTTTGCAGCCCATATTCAAGGATAGTGGTTAAAAATATGAAATGGGAAAATCTATTTAAAAAATCTTTTATCTAGTCCTGTATAACCCATGGAATAGCTACTAACTATGTTAGGTTATGGAGCAGTTGAAATGTGACTAGTACAATTGAACTGAATTAAAGTTTAATTTTAATTAAATGTAAAAACTGATACTTGATTTAATTAATTATGTTTGAAACAACTTGGATATGTTAATCTTCTTTAACTGTCAACTTCATGGAATCTAACTACAGATCAGGGTTTTCCAGAGAAAAGTTAGCACCTGAATTGAGATGTGCTATAAGTATAAAATAAACTCTAGATTTCAAAGACTTAGGTATAATTTTTTTAAATGTAAAATATTATAGGCCGGGTTTGGTACCCATAGCTCAGTGGTTAGGGTGCTGGCTATATACACCACAGCTGGTGGGTTTGAACCTGCCTAGGCCTGCTAAACAACGACAACTGCAACAAAAAAACAGCTGGGCCTTGTGGCCGGCGCCTGTAGTCCCAGCAACTTGGGAGACTTGAGGCGAGAGAATCACTTAAGCCCAAGAGTTTGAAGTTGCTGTAAGCTGTGATGTCACAGCACTCTGCTAGGGGTGGCAGAGTGAGATTGTCTCAAACAAAACAAAAACTAGGCTGGGCATGGTGGCTCACACCTGTATTCCAAGCACACTGGGAGGCTGAGGTGGGTGGGTTGCCTGAGCTCAGGAGTTGGAGACCACTCTGAGCAAGCGTGAGACCCGGTCTCTAAAAATAGCTGGGCATGTGGCAGGGGCCTATAGTCCCAGCTACTCAGAAGACTGAGGCAATAGGTTGCTTGAGCCTAAGAGTTTGAGTTTGGGCCAGACGCGGTGGCTCACGCCTGTTGTCCCGGCACTGTGGGAGGCCGAGGCTGGTGGATCCCCTGAGCTCAGCCAAGTTCAAGACCAGCGGAAGACCAGCATGAGGCAGAGTGAGCCAGAGTGAGACCCCGTCTCTACAACAACAACAACAAAAAATAGCCGGACCTTGTGATCCCAGCTACATGGGAGGCAAGAGAACACTATAGGAGGAAGAAGTAAAACAAACAAACAAACTTCAAACTAAGATAAAGTGAAAGCCAGCAGAAATTGAAAGCAAAAATTAAAAAAAAAAAAAGTTTAAAGTTTGCTGTGAACTATGACACTGTGGCACTCTACCAAGAGCAACAAAGTGAGACTATCTCAAAAAAAAAAAAAAAATTCTATATTGGCTCTGCGTCTGTAGCTCAGTGGCTAGGGCGCCAGGCACATACACCAGAGCTGGCGGGTTTGAACCTGCCCTGGCCTGCCAAACAACAATGACAACTACAACCAAAAACTAGTGGGATGTGGCGAGTGCCTGGAGTCCCAGCTACCTGGGAGGCAGAGGCAAGAGAATTGCTTAAGCTCAAGAGTTTGAGGTTACTGTGAACTGTGATGCTACCACACTCTACAGAGGGCAACAGAGTGAGACTCTTGTCTCAAAAAATTTCTGGGGTGGCGCCTGTGGCTCAGTGAGTAGAGCTCCAGCCTTGTATACCGAGGGTCGGCCCTGGCCGAACTGCAACAAAAAATAGCCGGGCGTGGTGGCGGGTGCCTGTGGTCCCAGCTACTTGGGAGGCTGAGGCAAGAGAATCACCTAAGCCCAAGAGCTGGAGGTTGCTGTGAGCTGTGATGCTACA